GTCACGTAAAACCATACCTTTGGTCTTTTGATTACAACAGTCAGATTGATCTTCTTCATCAGACGAAACTGAACTACGGTTGTGAACATCTTCATCAGTTGAAATAATTTCTTTAATCAAAGTTTCTTTATTTTCATCTTTGATTTCAACATCAATCGAAACTGTATCATCTGAACAACTTTCTTCTTGCAAAATCACTGAATTTGGTTTGGCAATCATCTCATCAAAAATAACATCTCTTGATCGATGCATTTTAACACGTTTCTTATTCTGATGTCCCATTCGTTCATGGTATAACTGCAATGCATCTTGATCATTAACAAAGTTAACTTCGACTTCAGAATTCAACGGTCTAACAGTTTTTGCAACAAGTTTGAACAAACCTCCATTGTTGTTTCTTATTTCAACAACATTTATCACATTGTCAATAAGTAGATGACAACTTCTTGAGGTTGAGACAAAAGAGCTATTTCTGTTCTTATCTTGAGTTGCAAGTACTGAGAACAAATTTCTTTTTACTTTTGGCACATACAAGACATCTGTAAGTTTAACAGTTTGCCATTTATTATTCACTTTCACTTGAAGATGAATAATTCCTTTTCCAAAAGCTTCTACAGTATCACCATTTGCAACATATAATTTACTCGGTTGAGAAAATTTTTCAAAACTTTGAAATATGTCTCTTCGGAAAGTTAGATGACACGTTGCACCATTGTCAAAAAACCATTTATCAGTGTACGCTGACTCATCAATTGCAAAAACACTTGATTCCATAACAACTAGTGACTTATTGTCATCGCGTAGATTGTTATTTCTTGGTTTTGCTGGTCTACCATCAGAATGCCATTTTTCACAATTTCTTACAATGTGACCTGGCAATTTGCAATAATGACATATCAGTCGCTTTGGTTTGCTGACAAATTTATCTTATTTTTGACCATTCATGTTTAGTGACGACGTTTTAGTTGTTGCTTTGACAAATAATATTTTATTACATTCTGTTTTGCTTTCCAAAGATCTCTCATAGCTACACAGTTGATCTGTGAGTGTTTCGACTGTTCTTTCAGTCTTGTTCAACAATCTCCAACCTTGCAGCAAATGAAAAATATTTTTCTGGCAAGGTTTCAATTATTTGACACATCAGCAACAAGTCACTGTTTTCATCTTTTCCTAACTCAACCTTTAAATCTTTCCAAAGATTCTTGAGTTTTGTGACATGAGTGACAACATCATCACTATTTTATAACTAAAGAACTTCATGCACAAGTTGTATGCTTTATCTTCATTAACTTCATCATACAATCTGTGAAATTCTAACCAAACATCTCTGTTTGGTTAGAATACGTTTCATACGTTTCATCGGTTATGTTGGTTGACAGAACAATCATAGCACTACAATCTGCTCTGTTGAATCTGTTCAAAGCAATTTGATATTTTGCTATCTGATCTTTATTTGAGTCATCGTTCGATTCATCTGGAACTTTTAATTTGCCATTTACTACATCCATTGCATCAGGAATGCCGCGTAGTATTATACAAACTCTCGATTTCCAGTTCAACCAATTACTTTTGCCTTCTAGGTGTTTGATTTGCACTTTAGTTAAATCCATTTCTTTGTCTTTTCAATTTGACCTTTTAATTAGAAGCAAAATATCGATTTTCAGAGAATGAAGAAGCACGTGCTTTCTCTTCACTTCAGTCTTTACAAAGGAATCTTCTGATATTTCTTTATTCTAAATTTACTTCGTCAAATCAATTAATTAAGAAAAACGTTATCTGGGTCCCATAACCTGTTAAATTTCTTGTCACGTAGATCGTTTAATTGATATAATATTGATAGACATCAAAAGAAGAGAAATAAACTAAGCAACGTTCTCGACTTGTTTATTATCCACCGGATCAACAGAAAAGGAAAAAGTGAAGTTACATACAAAGCAAAGAACATTTGGTCCAAAGAAAATAAATGTATATTATAAATCATAATGTTTTAATATAAAACATAAAACTTAACAGGAACAATATATATATATACATACATATATATATATATATATATATATATTGGACAAATCTATATATATATATATACACCTACCTAGGTATTTATGTGTAACTAAAATATTTTCGTAAAAATTAAATTATGAATGACCTAGTCATTTAACCACTTGTTAAAACTAACTATGAATGTGAAGTTGATATTTTATTGCAGGGATGTGAAGATTTCATAAAGTTCGTGACTAAGGGTATGATGGCTCTGATGACCTTGCTCTGTATAGTTGCGCTGATATCGGTAAACTTTTTAAATGATGATGTTTTTTATTATTTAGAAAAATTTCCATGTGTTTTATATTTGTTTTGAAAATTTGTTTTTTTATTAACTAGAAAAATGAATACATTTTTATATTTGGTGACTGAAATTGTCACCGGATACATTTTTCCTTTTAATTTTATGTTCTATGTTATGTTTAACCATATTTTAAAGGTACGTTACATTATTACACTATTATTATCAACATTCAATATATAATTTAATTTCATCTTAATATTATTTTATATCTTCTTGATTTATCTCATTTCAATGATTTTAATATTATTCACAATAATATTCAGCTCCGATGATGGCTAAAAAGCCGAAACAGCGCTGTCAGCTGACAAGTTTCATGGATATTTTAAATAAATACGAATTCAAAAAACTACGTGGTGTTAGAGTTTTTATCAAAAAACTTTTGAACGCAGAGTGGGCATACAAATTTAATGAAATATGCATCAACGAAGGCCCCGGCCCAAACTATATATATATATATATATATATATATATATTATTTAGGACAAGATATATAGCGCCCATTCAATTTTTCACAGGCGCTCTCAAAAAAACAAACTTAATTATATACGTGCAAACAAAATAAGTACAAAATAAAATTCAATGCAACTTCAACAAAAATAAAAATGTCTTTAAATCTTTTTTAATTGATTGAAGATGAAGTCTAGGTTTTTTCAGCGATGCAGGGAGACTGTTCCACACAGTGGGACCGGCAATTGCAATATCACGTGATCCAATCTGTTCCCTTGCCACTGGCACCCTTAAGAAATTTATATCATCTGACCGAAGGCAGAAACTAGATGCCGTCCCTTTTTTGGTAAATTTATTGGTTATGTAATCTGGTGACATCCCGTTTAAAGCCTTGAACATGATCACACCAACTTTAAAAATTATCTTTTTATCAATCGTCAACCAGTGCAAATCATTTAAAATTGGCGTAACGTGGTCAAACTTCAATTTACCAGCAACCAACTTTGCAGCTTTATTCTGAACCAATTGCAGAATAGCAGCAATAGATTTATTGGATATTTTATACAACAAGATGTTGCAGTAATCTAACCGAAATGTAACAAACGCATGCACCAAAGTTGATCTGTCCAACCAGTGCTTAATTCTATATAAATTCCGGAAACAAGAGATGCATGAAACTGCTATCATCTTTATATGATCCTTCATCAATAATCTACTATCAAGCAAAACTCCCAAATTGGTGGCAGCATGAATGAACGGTATGTTAACATCATTTATTGTGATGGAATTTACATTTAATTTTACCAACTGCTGCCATGTGCCAACCGGACGCAGCTGAGTCTTGCACTGATTAAATCTCAATGACATGACATCCATTTTCCAACCTCTCTAAGCATTTGGCAAGTTTATCAACCTCAGCCTTGAAAAAACCAGGATGACCAGTCATCAAAATTTGAATATCATCCGCAAATGCATGGCAGGCAAATCCATGAAAATTGATAATTTTAAATACATCGGATGTATATAATTTGAACAGAATAGGTCCGAGAACAGATCCCTGAAGTACCCCTGATTTGACCATTTTAACATCAGACGGCATTGTTGAACAAGGTCTGCTCTGTTCAATCCGTCAGATATGACTCAAACCACGCAAAAACAGTGTCATTCAATCCGTAATTGGACCGCAACGTCTTCAAAAGTATACCATGGTTGACACAGTCGAACGCTGACGACATATCCAGAAACGACAGTAATGAAAGGTTTTGAACATCCATTGTTGAAAATATATTTGATAACACCTGAAGTAACGCTGTCTCTGTTGAGTGGAATCGTCTATATGCTGACTGATGAATCGACATCAAACCATTTACAGACAAATAGATTAGCAGACTCTTCATAACAACCCTCTCGACAACCTTTGATATAAACGAAAGATTTTATATAGGTCTATAATTTTTAACATCATTAACATCAGAGTTTGTTTTTTTTCAAAATTGGAAGGCATGTTTGAAACTAACAGGAAATTTACACACTTTCAAACAAAGGTTAGTGAAACTGGTGAGAAAGCAAATAAACAAATTTAAGTATTTTTTAAAAACATGTGTCGGTGTGACATTAAGTGAACTTGTTTTTGTTGGAGAACTGAGTATGACACTTTTTAACTCGTCTTCTGTAATCACAGGGAACGATGAAAACCAGCAATCATTTGGTGACCTACATCTCTCATTCAACGGAATGGAATTAACATCTGTTGTATAAATAATCTGATCAACCTTGTCCGTGAAGAATTTCATAAACTGATGAGCATTTATTTTTATATCATAAATAGACAAATCGCGTCTTGAACCTCGTGATAACATTTTGCTTACAATTTGCCATCCATTTCTGGACCCCTTGTTTAACTTTATTAAATTATTCCAATACCTTGTACGCCTGTCAGAAAAAATATCGTTTTTAATTTTTAGCGAGATAATCCATTCATTTCTATTTATATCTGTTGAACATCTTCTGTATAGTCGTTCCATCTTTCTACAACATCGTTTGGCGCGCAAGCAGTCTTCATCAAACCATGGAGCCACCCGCTCACCTCTGTCAAGAATCATTCTTTTAGGCACCAGTCTGTCAATGATATTCTTTAACTCATCATTGAAAATTTTTATCTCACCATCAACATCATTGCTACGACAAGAACCAGACAGTGGAGAATTTAAAACTGCTTCAACAAATCTATCTTCATCATTCTTTTTCCATGATCTAAAAATTTGGCTGTTGTTCGACGTAGTTTAACAATTACCGCCTTAATCGTTATTAGATTGTGATCAGAGAAAACTCCATGAGGAAAAACCGTAGTACTTATAATAAGAAAATCAGCGGAGCTAACAACCAGATCCAATGTTCCACCTCCTGAATGCGTTGACTCATTTCAAATAAACGTATGGTGTTTTGATTATTTATTCTTTCAATATGCACATTAAAGTCGCCCATCAGTAAAATATTTGCATTAACATAATTATATGCTCCAGAACTGAAACCAACTCTTCAAAAAACAAAACGGTTATTTGTGCTGAACCAGGCCTGTACACACCCAGAAGAATGAATTGATTTTTATTGATTACTAATTTAATGGCAACAGTTTCAAACGTTACAAATACAGGTAGACCTAACTTTCTACAACTAAACTCTTCACGAAAATGCTGCTCTTCCTGACAAAGTCTACATAACAATATCCCGGTGGCTTAGCAATATTGACAGAGTTGTTCCCAGCCAAGCCATGCCACGTTTCAGTCAACACCAGCACATCCAACCCATCACTAATTAGGCCATAAACTCCATCAACATTAGGTGCAACTGATTTGACATTTAGCAAACCCAAATTAAAATTTTCATTCAAATTATCATTATTATCATCATTACGGTAAAAATCATGACTACCACATTTGATCAAGCTGTATAAATCATACCCCCGGCTCTATCGTCCATTTATAAGGTTGACTCTTTTTTTGCTGGGAATTGAACTATCTTTCATTTTCCCACATCTCCTCTTACTATGAATAAAAAACCCTCCGTTGAATTTTTTTCCATCCGCCTGGCATCATCCAAGAATTTTTTAAGTTCATTTCTTTGCTCAACAGTCAAATCGTGGCTCAGACCAACATTAGTCAGACCATCGCCACAGACCTCATTTTAACAATGTTCTTGAAGATTCAACCTTCACGTCATCAAATTTAATCAAAATTGGTCTTACCACATTATCACTTTTCTTACCAAGTTTTAACAGCTTCACTATTAACCATCATAAACACCATCAGTCAGGTGAGTTATTATCTTGCAAACCCTGTTTCTGTCATCAGTTCCTTCACTCAATCAAAAAACTATCATGTTCGCCTCACGTTCTTTCGATTCCATTACATCGGTTAGCGTTTTCTGTACTTTTTTTACATCATCATTTATAATCTTTTCTTAACCTCTTAACCAACCACACTAGCGAAAGATCTGCTCATTTTATTTTTAAGGCTTAAAATTTCATTACAGAGCTTTGATTCAGGGATATCCAATGTAGACATTTTGCTTTCATTTTTTTCTAACCTCACTTTGATTGCATCTATCTTCAACCTAATCTCTTTGCTTAATCAGTCTATCTTGTCACGTATTTCAGCATTTCCACTTTTAACGCTTTTGATGACCTGGTCCTCCAATGAAGGTGACTTTAAACACCCATCACATACAAATTTGACATTACTACATGCCTTTATTAGTTCTAAGGATTCTTCAGTCAAGCCGACAGCAAACGAACCCCGCAACGAAAACACTGAACGTCTGTTGACTCTTTATCACATCGTACGGCATCACTGTTTGCATTTTTTTCCCCAGAATTTTATTCGAAAAGAAACAGGAGATCATATATACAAAAACATGTGCTGACCACCTTAACTAGTTGTGCAACAATATGAGATACAAATATAAACATTTTTAGTATATCGATAAATATAAATACACCCAATAAATCCATTTTTATAACTTAAAGTAAGGAGGTTAAATATTTAATCAGATGTAAAACAATTAAATTACACACGACAAAATTAAACAAAGAAAGCATCATACCTACATTGATCAGCATAAGTTTTCTATATATTTTTTAAATTCATTATATCCGGAAAATTTTTCTTACCTAGTTCCAAGGAATTCCAAAGACGAATTCCTCTTACCGCCCAGTATCTAGCATTTAAATCAGTTCTGCAAGTCATTGGTATCAACAAACCTTTTTGCCTAGTGTTTGTTGACACCGTTTCAAATAAGCCTAACATGTTGAACTCAGGTTAGATACCTATTAAGCTGTTCAATACTGAGGATACTATTATCGGAATATATTGCCAGTGTATGATCAAGATGTTTCAGAAAAAAACAAACCCTAAGGTATCTTTTTTGTACTATTGTCAATGATTTTATTAAATAATCATAAGAAGCTCTCCAAAAAACATTTCCATATAGGAGATATGGATAGATTAGGGAGTAATATAGCATTAACATGATTTTAGTACCTAATTTATTGCGTGATCTATAAATAATGCCAGTAATTTTATATAATTTGCTTACCAACGAATTTATATGCTCATTCCATTTCAAGTCAGACTGGATAATAATTCCCAGAAATTTAGCTGAAGAGTTTCTGAATATCACTGAGTCACCTATGTGAATGGTTAGGCCAGAGAAGATATCCTTGTTCGTTTTGATTTTAGGGCCAAAGGCTAAATAGGATTTTTTTGAATTCAGAACCAACTTGTTTCCAGTGAACCAGTTGGAGAATTTAACCAGTTGGTTATTCATTTCAGAAAATAGTCTTATCGGGTCTTCGTCAGATAAGAATATAGTTGTGTCGTCAGCAAATAAAATAGTGGTACACACATTTGATATTAAAAAAAATATCATTTATAAACAAAATAAACAAAAGCGGTCCCAAGATTGAACCCTGGGGAACTCCAGAAACTATTTCCTTGGGCAACGATTCAACACTTTCAAAACAGACATATTGACACCGATTGTATAGGTAAGACTTGAACCAGCTCAGTACTATACCTCGAAAACCATACATAGACAGTTTATACAATAAAATATTGTGATCAATTAAATCGAATGCCTTGCTTAGATCTATAAAAACGCCTAAGCTAAGCTTCCTTGAATCATAATTATTTATGAGAGTCCCATACAGCATAGCAATAGCCTTCTCAGTTGATGACTCGCAGATCTACCCTTCCCACTCATCATCAACTGATCAATAGGACAGTTTAAATCAGTTTAAATTATTATATTCTGAGTCTGTTATAAAATATCAGTTCGCAAAATTAACACGAGTCAGTTATAATATATTGCAACTAGCAAAATCAACATTAGACAAACAATGGAACTCGGCAAACGATATATATATATATATATATATATATATATATATATACAATAAAACGAACTACAAACATATTAACGCCAAACATTCGGTAGAATTTATAGAATATTGTAAAAATTATAGATTACCAATATATATATATATATATACATATATCTACATAAAAAAAATTTTTTTGATGTGTTTCGTTAGGATCACCATCATCACTAACTTTGCAATAAAGTTTAAAAATGGTTTTTTGATGTATTTGGGTTAGAAACTTCAAAAAACTCTGCGCTTAGTGCTTTTCTTGTGCTTCAAATTTTTAAATTTAGTATTAATTATCTATTTCATTATTTCTTTATTAGTTTTTGGTTGAGCAAAAAGGGGACAAATACGAGTCCCGCAGACACCAAAGCGGGACATGGGAGGCAAAATTCGGGATTGTCCCGTCCATTTCTGGACGGTTGGCAACTACGCTTTGTGCGATATGACACTTTTACGTGTCATCATTATTGATGATTCCTCTGTCTATAAATTTATTAATGGGAAAGATTCCAATTGCATGTAGTTGAATATTTATTATCGGATGTCTTTGTTCTATTAGTATTGATTTGGCTCGTCGTAAATTATAATGGTTGTTATTGTAATGTAAGATTTCAACATTGTGGTCCAAAATTTTTCTAGTAATTTTAATTTTGTGTTTCTCTTTCATGTGATTCTTTATAGCGCCAGTTTGTACGTGCATCATGAGTCTTCTCGATAACTTTGGTTGTCGTCATACCAATATATTTAGAATTATGGTGCCCACACTCACCAATATTACATTTGAACAAATATAATAGATGGCTATGATCCATTATCGATTCTGGCTCACTATTGCAGTTGTTTTTCATCACGAGAGATGACGTTCTTTCGCTGGAGTAGTGTATTCGTAGTTTAATACTATTGTTTTCGTTTGTTGCTTGGACGTTATTTTTTATGATCCTTTTCATATTTCATCCTGTTCGAAAACGGTTGACCTGTGGTTCTTATAATATATTACTATATTATTTTTGTTATCACTCTACGAAAACAGCACTAAATAATGTGACGTCTTACTTGTTTGATTCCATGAAGTTGCGTAATGTTTCCCCTTTTGCTCTTCTTGATATGAGCGCAGAATTTGATTGTGTTGATCACAAATTATTTGCTAACAAACCAGTGCCGGATTAACCATTAGGCAAACAAGACGCGTGCCTTAGGGCCAAAAATAGACTTAGGGAGGGGCAAAATTTAGAAGCATTTTTTCGTCAGAGTCAGAAGTTAGTGTTGACTTTTTAGTCTACGCAAACCTGCGAACAGGCGTCAGTGTTATTATAAATATAATAGACAGCAAACACGTTTATTTACACATATTTTTAAATCTGTAAGTACTGTAGCAGTTATCCTATCACTCAGTTTATTTTATTATTTAGGACTGAAGTATTTTAATATTTAGGAATCTCTGCTACTTTTAGTTGACCTTAGATTAGAACTATAATATATAATATCCAGCCAGCCAAAATATGCATCTCAAGTACAATAAGCGTACGCATATTTAAATTTAAATAAATTACTCTCAATTCACTTCAGTGTTTCTCTGTTTTCAGTATCATTATTATTTATTAGTTAGGCATATTAACACCTTGAAAGTACATGGGAGGTTTAAATTTAAATCTGATATAAATTTAAATTTTTTTAATTTGATATGTTATTAAATTTATAATATTTATGTAATTATTTATATTTCAGATTTATAAAACAAAATTCTCATAAATCAGTTTCATTCTCAGCTTATTAAGTTAAAACTTCTTAGTTGTAATTATTATCACAAAATTACTTATTTACCTTTTTTAATTTGGAAAATTAAAAAACTCTTCGATACAGTATATTTATTTTTTGGAGGTCGAATAAAATATTGTATTGTATAGTATTGTAATATATTTTCAGGCCACTTATAAATATGGGCCTTAGGGCCAACAGAGCCTTGATCCGGCTCTGTAATAAACTTAAATGCTGTGGAATTACAGGGACTTTCTAGCGTTGGATAGTTGCAGTTAAACTGTGCTGAAAAGTATAAAAAAAATCGAAATAGGTCCTATACACGCGAAAATAAATTGGAAAAATTTATATTATTCTAACTTTAATAAAATAAATAATGACGTCAAGAATTTGGTTAGAAATATTGAGATATGTAATAAAAAAACTATCCATCGATAGAATTTCGGTAGATTCGCACGTACACACACATGTGTGTGTGTGTTGTGTGCGTGTTGAACATAAACTTTTCTCTCACAAAAACTTGTAATTGCAGCAAATTGTTGCCTATTGATTATCCCTTAGATAAAATTTGTTAACGGTAATTTTATACTGATGCTGGAAAGATTTAATTGCTAATTAATAACTTGAATATAAAAGAAAATCTTAGTTTATATTTTCATGTATTTATTCGCACAGACGGCAACAACCATGGGGTCGGCATGGCTAGCAATTCGATACCAACAAACGACGGCGAACACAAAAAAATGAATGAACTTTTCATGATCTAATTTTTATAAATGTTTGAAATGTAAGCTTTTTAAATATTTTCCTATTGAAATAAATATTTTAAAATTAACAATTTCTTATTAGTATTTATTAAAACGTCTCAATTATTATGAATTTAAATTTTTACAAAGTTTGTTGGCGTCGTCTGAATTTCAACATTTATTATATATATATATATATATATATATATATATATATACAAAAAGTTTGTTGGCGTCGTCTGAATTTCAGCACATTTATTATATATATATATATATATATATATATATATATACCAACTATATATATATATATATATATATATATATATATATATATATATATATATATATATATATAGGTTTTTTGGTCCCCGAATCATTCATTCATTCATGTTATTATATATATGGAGTCTCGTAGACATCAGTCCTTACCAAGAGCAACTTCAAAATTATTCCTTATTTATTTAGTTAAATACAGTTAAACTTTTGGGCGATAAAGACACATCTATCGTGCGAAGATATTTTGAAGGCATGCACAAGCACCGCACCATACATGCATTCTGAGTTTTGGTATGAACAATGAAATAAGAAAATGTTTTGACAAAATAGTTTGAAAAGTTGTCAAAGTGTAATTAAATATTTTGTTTATTTTAACAACACGATGAGATATAAAACGTATGAAAAACATAAGAATAGAGCAATGATTTATTCAAAATCTGAATATTGCAATTTTCTCGAAAAATTTATGTTATCATTGTAAGAAACAAATAAAGTTAATATTGGCATCCCGATAAATTTGAACTGGAATTAATCGACATACAAACAGGTTTAAATAAATCTCATGATAGAAATGTGAATGACCTTAACTTAAATATAAAAAACTACTAGATAAGTCACCATGTTAATATCGTGGCTATGACGTCGTTTGTTCTCCCGAGTTCAGGATTTGTTTACCTTTTACGCATTATCGTAACCTTATTACCTTAATCGTTGCATTCGAATTTTTCGATAATTTTCAGCTTTTTCAATTTTCCGAATGTTAAATTAACCTATACATTTTTAATTCATCGTTGTAATAACAAATACCTATGTTTAATTTTAATCAATCACGATGCCTATGTTGTAACTATTGTTTGGCTTAGTAGTGTTACGTAATTAATGATGTTTGTTTCTCTTTCCAGTAATTTCGTTTGAACATTATTTTATTTTTTCGGAAGTTATACTTATTATTTACACAAAGTTTACTTTTTGTGAACTTTTGGTTGGTTTTTCGGAGTTTGAGATAAAGATTTCTAACAATAATTAGATATAAATATATGAACGTGACTTATCTATTAGTTTTCCATATTTATCGTCTTTAAGTATTTTAAATGCTAGCCGGAAAATTTTTTAATTTATAGGAAAATGCAAATGTGTGCCTCTACAGTTTAGACTTACATAAATATGTAAGCAGACTTTTTCAATAAATAAAATAAATAAACTGTCAAACTAAGGAACAAACTGATTGGCAAACATTTCGAAGCAGTGCTAAGAACTACAACATGCAATACTGAGCCAAACATAAAATTAGTGTGCAGACTCCAGTAACAGTCATCTCACCAGGACAGTGTCAGTACAAGCTCTCTACGCCCAAACATTTTTTCGATGTAGCCTTCTGTAGAATTATTGGAAACGTTGCAAACTGGATAAATATAAATGAAAATGGACGGAATATAAATAATAACTTGTTCACGCAAAGTGTTATACAACGAAAAGAATCTTAAATGAAAATAGTGATTGTAGAAAATTGTAAAATAGCAAGAATTCAAAGATTTGAGACGAAAAAATGTGGCAGAAGAATAATGTAAGCCGATTTGGTTATGTTCACACATGTAAAATCATGATGACCATGTTGATATAAATCGAAAAAGCTTAAAAAATGATTCTGCTTGAAAATCAATGAGTGAAAAGAAATTGTTTAATAGGACACAAATTTCAGGAATGGATGCAGATGCAACCGACATAAAATGTTTGTCCGGTAACAGGGTAGCAGTACAGCGCTAGAATTTTATAAATGCATGTTAAGTGAGACTGAATTTATTAATATTAGCTAAATTGGAAGCATTTGATAGGATGTTACAAATCTGTTTGAGACAATAAGTAAAAAACCAGGTCAAAAAAAAATTTGTGAAAAATGTAAAATGTATACAAAATAGTCATAAAAAATGGCTTTGAACATATTTTTAGAGCGTCAGATTACAAAGCGCAACGACAAAATAGATTGGAATAAAAAATTGAGATTTGCTAATAAATTGGATGAATGGCAGCGCTTAATAAACTAGAATGGGAACGCTGAGTTGACAGAAAATGGCTAAAAGAATTTTTTAAGCAACAAGATAAATTGGTACCATAAGTCCTTTAACAGTGGAAAATAACAATAACATTGGCTGATTGAATAAACTAATAGGTGCTCTTATTACTATTTTCATAGAGGTAATCCACCAGCAATTAAAAATGTGTACATCGGCTTCAAAACGACCATGAAGTATGCAACAGTGTAAATTTTTTGTTGGCAACTCTGGCATGCCTAACGTCTCTAAGCCAAAAATCATCAGAAAGATGTTCAGCTAGATATCAAAAATGAAAATTGGCAACTTAACAAGTTTAACCACTTTATTCAAATGAAGTAAACGATGGTATACAAGTTTTGTAAAATTGTTAGTGAAATCAGAACTGCTGTTATATAGAATAAAGGTTATTGAGAAGAACGACTTCCATATCGATACAAGAATTAAATAGGAACTGGTATTTAAGCGATTCACCTGGTAGTAGAACATTCACTTTTGTTAACGTTAATGCTTACTGTGTTACACAGAGCTATCTACTAACTTACAGCCATACATGTAAACCGATGCATTAAACAATTTTTGCGTACATCAGAAAGGGATCTTCCCGTCTAACTTAACGAATGCAGCTTGACGAATCCAAACTAAGAAACAAAATTAATATTTCATAAAGTTTATTTAAATTTTATTAAAAACCTTTATAAACAATACGCTTTATAAACGGTTAATCTATACAAATAATATCAGTAGAAAATGTTTGATAATTAAGTGATTTAGATGATAGGAAATTTTTACGATTAAAAGATTCAGAAAATGAGTTAGTAGACAACATAGTTCGACTTTGAAAATGTGAATTAGATGAGCTTTTCCCACACTGCACAGTGTGGCTTGGTAAAATACCAGTTCTGCTAGGAAGAGTATTTAATGATTCTGTATTTTTATTGTTAGTACCTTTAAAGCACAATTTTTTAATTAATGGATTATACGTCTCAACCAATTTCCAAATAGTTTTCCCATTTAAAACGCATGGAACTAAATTTACGTTAAATATATTGTGAACATATGCATAATGCTGTCTCATGTTTTCTTGAGAACCACTGTTACATTCAACGACGTTATCACAAATTCGACAAAGAAACGAAAATGTTTGCGGAGATTTTGGAGATGCTTCAATTCTACCAGCAAGCAAATTTTTATTGTTCGAAGGTTCAACTTCACAAACAAAACAGTCATTATCAACATCACACAAATTAATTAAATTCTCTTCAGTTTCATTGACATTATTGATTGATCCTTGATTCAAAGAGTCATTAGAATTATTAAGGGCAAGAGAATAAACTTTTCGAATAACAGGTTCTTGATCCTCCGATGACGACGGGCAATCCTTGAAAGTCTTGTTTTCCTTGTTACTGTTATAACTAGGACTAACCTCAGTTGTTATGCGATTAATGCTTACAGAACAGAGCTTCATTTTAAGCTTTAATTCTTCAGCAGTTTTTGACAACTTTTTAATTTGCTTTTTTTGTCTGAAATTATATTTTCGAACCATTGGATCCTTTGTTATTTTCAAATATTTGCTATCAGAATGTTTTTGTTCGTTTAAAATAGTGAGACACCACGTTTCATATGATGGAAAGCCATTCATAATGCAAGTTTGTTTTTTACCTTTGAAAGATGTTTTGAAATCTATTCTTCTACCCAAAGGAGATGTTACATCTAATGCTAATAGTTTTTGGTATCTGTTTCTTAAATGAACTTTTAAAAATGATTTTACGTGATTTTTGGAATCAAGCTTCTCATCCGTGGCAACAGGATTTTGATACTTTGACAAAGAATTATTCGAAACAGGTAATTCAATTTCATCATCTTCATCCTCATCCTCATCATCTATAACTATGATATCACCACAGAAAAAATTTGTCGAATCATCTGATTTTGAATGTTTTGAATTCACATTCACAGATTTAAGTCCCAACATGGAGAAATATTCCCTCTTGTTACTTGAACTATGCCGATGGTCCAAATCTTCACACGAATTAAATTTAGAACAACATTCCTTCTGATGAGCATGTAGCATAACTCTTAATCTAAACTCTTTATCACAATTAAAGCACGTGAAAACAGGTAGAAGAGGAAAACCTGCAGGAATAAAGTTAACATTTTTAAATTAAATAATAGATCATAAAGATAAAAAACATAAAATATATTATGTAATATCAACCTTCCATCAAAAAACAAATAAAACCAACTGACAGCCTCCCTACCCAGTTAATCTAACTATAACCCTTTATTGATACATTCAATAACTTAATTACTTCCAGTTTTTCCATTTTTCCATTTTGATTTTCGAATTTATAGCTACACAGTTAACATTTGAAGGAAGATTGAAAAAAAATTTTTCTGTTTAAAGAACTTTCTTACGCTTACAAGTGGATTTATTTATTGCTTTCTCTAAACTTATTAAGTTATTCGATGTAATCGCGTTTTTTAAATTTAAATTTAAAAACGCATTTAAATTCTTCGCCGGGATTCCGTTGGGAATCGAAATATGGCCTTATTTGCAGCATGAATTCGGAAAATAAGTTTATTTTGAATTTTAATAAACTAAACGTTCACCAAAAAACTTTAGTGAGAAAAATCGAACAACAAACATATTAACGCCAAACATTCGCTAGAATTTAGAGAATATTGTGTATATATATATATATATATTATTATATATATATATATATATATATATATATATATTGAATTTAATATTTGTAAGGTTTTTGATTTTGATTTTTTTCTGTTTCAGTTTCAAAAGAAAATCTAGTATCATGTTTGGTTTTGAATAAAATTGTTTTTGTACATTGATTATCTATGATTTTTGAGGCACATGTTGGGTGGCAAGCATAACACACTAGTGGGTACTCCGACGACCAAACAACCAAAAAAAAAATCTACAATCTACAACTACAACTTTGACGCCGAATTTTCAACAGCATGGCCAAAACACACGTCAACACAGAATAAAACTTCCAGTTTTTAAGGTAACAGCTTTGACGAGGTGGTTTGCCTTCACCGAGGCACAGTTTTATTAAAACGTCAGATTTAGTAACAAAGCTACCGTTAAGATTATTTGAAAATAAGAGTTATGAAGACTTAAAATAAAACAGTGGTTTAACCTTGGAGCACAGTCTAAACCAGAACTGTTCGCCCGGTTTATTAAAGCAGCAAAATGACCAGTACTACTACTTTCACTACTGACAAGAGTCAGTATTAAAGCAGCAAAATGACCAGTACTACTACTTTCACTACTGACAAGAGTCGTTAGTTGCAGCAAACAAAATAGGCGTGGGAGATGATCTTATCCGCCAAAAATTCATCCAGGCACTCCTTACATCCATTTCGCCAGCCATAGTCGCTCAGAAAGGTTTTGACATGCAACGACTAGGAAATATTGCTGATGAGCTGATGCCATTTGTAAAAAATAACGTTTATGTAGTAAAACAACATAATTTAAAAAAAAAGTCGCGTTTACAAACTCAATCAACATCGAGCAATTTTACAAGAACCAACGTATTCAAATCTGTCGTGGTCACATATTTTGAAAAAATTCTAAAACTTGCAAATTACCGAACAACAAAATTTTAAACATCCAGTTATCATTCAGATCTTTTTTTCTAGCAAAATCACGATCATCAACAATGCGGTATCATCACATCAGTCGGAAAACTAATAAGTCGAACCGAGGTCACCACGTTTTGAAATTACAGCTGAAATTGGATGGACACATTTGAAACTATTGTTTTAGCTCGATTTGGGGTGCCTTTTATATATTATATGTCCAGGAAGCAAACCACAACCAATTGGTTCGACTAGAGGTCGGCGGTAATGAGGGTGGTACGATTTGCAGGGCAGTTGAATAGGTGTAGAGTAGTGTGATGCGGTAAAAGACAGAAGTTGCATTGGTCAGGGATTGTGCTATTTATATGACTGAGGTAGTTATTGAGGTGGGTAGAGTAGCCACAGCGGAGCTATGATAAGATGGTTATAAATTTGCGGGTAGTGATGCTTCAGTTTTATTCATAAGAGATGGATGGCTGTTGAGTATAGGGCTGGATTTAGAGTTTATGGTATTGAAGACTGTGGAAATGTGAATGTGACAGCGCAAATCTTTATTCGTGTGATTGTTAGGGAGTGTTTATATGAAAGTGTTAAGTCGGGTTTAACTGAAGATAATGAGTGTTTATTTGATGCTGCGAGGGGCTGCTAGGGCTGGTGGGGCGTTGACTAGAAGATGACATGGATGATAGTTATTGAGGTATTGAGTGAGGCATAGGTCTGCTAGTGGGGAGGAGTGTTGGGGGACAGATAAGATATTAGTTTCTTGGTGTAGGTGATCTATGGGTGTCATGAGGAGGCAGCCGGTTATAGTTCATAAATCAAAATTTTGAGGGGTTTGGAGTTTTTGGAAATTGGTTTGGGAGATGTTGGGTAGCCAGATGGGTGCGGCGTAGTTGATGACAGGTCGACAGATTGATTTAAATGTAGCAAGGAGGGTTTTTTAGTTAACTCCAGTTAGTGTCTGCCAGAGACTTGAGTATTTGGTTTCTTTGTTGGAATTTTTGTGCTATTGTTTGTGTATATATTGAAAATGAGGGTTTCAAAATTGACACCGAGTAGTTTGGGATGTTTTCGAAAGGTAGATTTGAACTGTTGATAGTTATTGAGAGGCGAATGTTTGCTTCTTTTGTGAATGGGGTTAAAAGTGTGACTGTGGTGACGTCGATTACGTCAATTTTGTGTGTGTGTGTGAGAGAGAGAGAGAGAGAGAGAGAGAGAGAAAGAGTAAACGAAACGATTATTGAAAAAAGTTGTTTGGCTTGTGAAGTAGTTATTGAAAGAAATCGTGATTGATTCAATAAGGGGGCTAGAGGATAAGATTGAAAAGTCGTCAGCGTAGCCAATTACTTGGACGTTAGAGTAGAGGTATGTTTCTGATGTAGGCATTGAGTAGGGCAGGAGAGATAACGGAGCTTTGTGTAAATAATTCTTGTGCTTGATGTGGTGTTGCGGAATTGGGTTTTGCATTGGCGATTGTGTAGGTAGTTGGGGATCCATCTAATAAGGTAGGCTGGTAAGGTGAATTAATGATTTTGAGCACACTTCTCTTTTTTGTAGGCTATTGTTGTTAATTGGTGTAGTGATGGTTTATACAAGAGTTGTCGGCAAAGGGTGTATCTATTGATAATGTGTATAAAATGTTTGGGTAGGTCTTCTTCTTTCTCGTGCCTTATCCTTTCAGGACATTGGCGACCATCGACCTCCACAAAACCCGATCTTTAATACTTTGTAGCAGTTGAAATGTACTGATATTCAACAAGTGACACAAGGACTTCACGAATATTATGCGTTGCTGACCGCGATCGCATTTTTCTGCAATTATTCTAGTAGTAATTAGATATTCGATTCTTTCCTTCTACATGATGTGACCAAAAAAATTAACTGCCCCCGTCGGATCTGTAGTAATCTGTAGTAATTTTCTTTTTTCACAACCGGACTGTTTTAATACAACCTCATTCGAAGTATGAGAAGTTCAACTAATTATCATAATTCTTCTCAGCAGCGTTAATCTTTTCTTCCATTTTTTTTAGAAATTGTTCAGGACTCAGAGCCATAAGTTAGCACAGGAAAAATGTAACACCCTAACAGTTTTAATTTTGTTGATATTGTTATAACCGACCCCTAGAACTTGTAGGGTATGGTTATTTCTCTCTACGTGAGTTCTTGACTCCTAAACAGACTTATTTTAGATGAACTTTATTCGAAAGAAAACAGTGCTGGCAATCACTTGTGTATATTGCTGTGATCAATCACTCGTTTATTCAATCGTTAAAATTGTTAGAATACAGCACAATAACTAATCAACAGATAAATCATGGGATAAAACTAATCGTCAATAATTAAGCTCTTCTCGTCAGATATTTCTTGGCCGTAAATCCTCAGTATCCGCTTCTCGGGAGATTATCGTAATTCGCTCTCAGACCGCGTGTAGAATTCTTCGTGATAAATATTTCCTCGGGCGTTATCGCTAATTTGTTTGCAATATTGCTAAAAACTTCTTCTGACTTCTTCGTAATTCTCCTCGTGTTTCCTCTCGTATTCGTGTCGGTCTTGTTTGTTCTCGTTCGTCTCGTATCTTATATAGTATGCCGTGTCACGTGACTTTCAATCGTTATAATTGTTTACGCCTTCGGCTAGTAAGTGTGTCACATGACTTTTTACAATCGTTTTAATTGATTATGCCTTCTGCTGGTAAGTGTGTCACATGACTTTTTACAACCGTTTTAATTGTTTACGCCTCCTGCTAGTAAGTGTGTCACATGTCTTTCACAACCGTTTTAATTTGCAAGCGCATCGCGCAATTTCTAACCTCTAGTTCCTATCTCGGCTTCGCGTCTGTAACAATATTTTGATTTTACTATTGGTGAGGATGTTTTTCATTTTAGAATATGCATCTGTCGCCATAGCAATACTTCGTTTGATGTTCACATCATATTTAAAACCTGAGGTAATCAGACTTCCAAGATAATTGAAGCTGTTTGTTTAACTTGTTTACCATTAATGATTATGAGTAGATCCAGGCGATATTCCTTTTACTGATAACCATGCCCTCTATTTCGTTGATGTTAACTTGCAATCCTTTTTTTCAATTTCAAAAACCAGTTTGGAAACAATTGTTTGCAATTTTCCATTAAATCTGCTATAAGAGCTGTATCATTAGCATATTTTATATTCACGCCTCAATGGATATTCCAGGTACATCTTCTATCTTTCCCATAATGATCTCACTATAGAGATTGTGCAGGTCAGGAGAGAATACACAGCCTTGCCTATCAAATTTCTTTGGTTCGACAAAACTAGTTATTTGTTACCAACTTTCATCGCTTCTCTTTGGTCCCAATAGATATTTTGGTAATTCTCGTGTCTTTTCCATCAATGTCCAAATTTTCCAATATTTTCATAAGCTCAATGTGTTTCGCGCTATCAAAAGCTTTGAAGTAATCGACAAAACATATAAACAAGTTTTTCTTCATTTCAATCGCATACCATTTCATTCATAGCATAAAGATAACGTTTCTTGTGCCACAATCCTCGACAAAACCACAGTGAACATATGAAATTCCAGATCTGACTTTGCTTCGTGCTCTCATCATCAAAATTCTCAAGAGAAGTTTTGTAAGATGATTCATCAAGCTGATTGTTCGATATAGTTCACATTCTGTTGCATTAGGTTTTTTAGACAATGCAATATTGACTTGAATAGATCTTCAGGAATTTCGCCGCTGTTATAAATCTCTTTTAAAATTTCTGCCACTTTTTCAATGCTAAAATCATCAAGAAATTTAATTTCATCAACTGGACCTGGCGGTTTATTTGATTTCATTTTGGAAAGAGCGGCTCGAACTTCGGATCTAAGTATTTTTGGTCTTTCTACATCTTTTTTTATAGGAGGCTTTTCACAACGGTTATTATCAAAAAGATCGTTAATGCATTCAGTCCATCTTTCAAGTACTTTTTTTTCTCTAAGATTGCTTCACCGGATTTAGCACTCTTTTTTATTGTTTTTTCCAGTTTTTTGTAACTATCAGAATTGCAATCTTTCACTTTCCTTCGTTCATTCATCAGAGATACGATGTCATCTATTATCCAATTATGACCTCTTCTTTGATTTTTCACAGATAAAGCTTCCCTTGCTGATTCTGTGAAGGCATCTCAAAATATTTCATATTTATATTTATTTACGTCTTCCGTCAATAACTGAAAACGATTCCATACTTCAACGTTATATTTGATCTTGATCTTATCATTTTGTGACAGACTGACAAAATTCAAGCGTTTTGGGACAACTTCACGTTTGATTTTCTTTAACTTGATCCTGATTATACGAACAACTGGGTTATGATCACTGCCAATATCAGCTCCGGGATAACTTTTGCATTGTAAAACGGCATACGGTAGGTACCAGACATAAACTTATGTCGGTCGGCTGAAATGCATTTTTTGGAGACTTTATTGATGATCTTGCGATACATTTTTAAAGTTGTATGTAGTTGTAAGTTAGGGGGCTGGAGAGGGCTAATTAAAAAAGTGATTTTGTTTGTTTAAGATGTGTCTCACTAGGCTTTTGAAATGTTGATGTATGTGCGTTTTGTTGATGCTGTGATGTGAGTAGCTGTTTCTATTGTTATTACGATAAGGGCTAGGGTTGAGAGATGTGACTGAAGACCAATTCGTGGAGGTTGCAAAAGTTTCTGCGTTTCCATCGTGCAACCAACATCGCCTAGTCGTACACCAGATACCGAACAGGCGATGCAAATAAATACCTACCCACCATCTTACCTGAGTTTTATAAAACTAGTTGTAGACACTGGTCCAGCAGTAACAATTCAAAAAAATTTCTCAGCGGGGCTATTTCTACAATCTACCACCGTTCATTTGTCTACTGCAAATGGTTAAAACATTAACTTCCTCGGAGAAAGTTTTATTGAAATTAAAATACTTACATTACGCAGAACCTACAAACGGCATGTCGTCACTGCAGATATTGTCAACTCATTATCAGGTAACATTTATCAAATCATTACCTACCACCAATTGATCAACCGAAAAACAAAAAAGTCAACTACAGCAAATGTTTTGTACTGTTTCATATAACATCAACCTGAAAAAAAATCAAATTCAAATAAAATTGAAAGTAAACACATCCTCGACACCAGTCACAACTCTCCAGCATTCGCAGTTGGCCAGCTGTTAGAAAATACAAATTCCATTTCATTGCTCAACACTGGCAGTATTCTTGAGCATCCCCATTTAATTTTGTTTTGAAGAGTACCCATGGACAGTGGAGACCTATGAAGATTATCGAAATGTAAATCTCATCACAAAACCTGACATCACAGCATTGCAGATAAATTACACAGCATACAAATATTTTCAAAATTAGACTTATTAAAAGCATACTACCAGTACATGAAAAAGATTTAAAAACCCGCTGTGATAACACCTTTGGGCTTTTTGAATATATGTTTATGCCAATTGTATTAAGAAACGCAAGCTGAGCCTTCCAAAAATTCATAGATAATATATTTTCGGGTCTCATCTGTGTTTTTATGTATTTAGATGACACTCACATTTTTTGAAAACATCTAACACCAAAAAGATTTCAAAAATGCTTTTCAAATTTTAAGTTAAAATAATTTACAAATATTATTTTCAAAGAAAATCTTAATTATTTAGGAATTAATATTAGTGATGAAGGGCTACCTGCAACAAAAGAGAAGTTAAGTGAAATTGAAGAGTTTCAGTCGCAAATGAAACCACAGATAAAAAAACGTGGAGCGGATTTTGATAGACAGGTGAGCTTGATGATAAATGATCGAATGGAAGAATTGTTACCAAAAGATTGTTTAAATTTCATTCTCAGTCAACCAGAGAAGAAGCTTTGAAAAATGGGCTGTGATTCAAATGTTCACAGCCCGGTCATTTGTTAAGATAAACCTGTTAAAATTCAAAAAATTTAAGTATTCGCAAAACGGAAATAAGAGAAGGTGATTATTTGTATTCAAAGAAGATAGTTGATATTCATCGGGAAGATTCATATTGTTATAACTTCGTATTGTAACTTGTACTATTGTCAAATTATCGATATTCCTTAGGAACAAGATTTCTGATAAAAAAACACAACTGTTTTAAACGAAAACTTGTTTGGACGTTTATTCGAATGCAAGCAGTAATAAAAACGCTAAATTATTTACTAATCCAAAAATATGCACGATCGCAATAATTTAGATCAAGCTACATAAATCACAACTACAACCTTGCCACTAACTCAAAGTAACCTCCTTATATTAATTATATAGCGCAATTCAATCATTACAGCGGTTATGAAATGTGAAAAAATTTGTATATAACTATGTTGAAAAAATATAATCGAAGAAATAACTTGTCAACGGAGGTGCAGAAAGTTGCTGCATAAATCCGAGTCTTATTGATCGGTCAGGAGTAAAGATACAAAACAGAATTTCGGCTCTCGAACAAAATAGTAAGGCGAAAACGGTTGGTTGGTTATTTTTTTTTTAAACGAACCTTTTATTTGAGATGAAATTAGAGATGCAGCCCATCATAACAGATGAATAAGAAAGTAAGACATATAAGTTTGGCTTGCGGTGGTACCAGAATTTTTTTTTTATAAAGGATTATTTTACCACCAGGATAAATAATTAGGTCAAAAAATTGATCAGCTATGTCTACCAGTGTGCTGTGATTTTCATCAATAATTGCATTTCTGAAGTCTTAATCAATATATATATATATATATATGTATATATATATATGTATTATTTTAGTGGATTCATAGCACTATTATATAAACAGTTTAAAATAATATCTATTGTGGCATCAACAGGAACGTTAGTGAAAAGAGATTCCACATCTATTGATGATATGATGCCTGATGATGATCTAGTTTTTAAGATGTGAATAAATTCTGATGATGAAGAAATGCAATGTTCATTTGGAATATATGGAGTCAGGATGTTGTAATAATAATATATACAAGATGGAGCAATTAAACAACATTATCAACAACAGCATAACATCACTTTAATATATATATACATATATATTTTAAAGACCGACCAAAATTCGGTTTCGGCGCCGAAACTGCATACTTTCTAGTTGATATATAGAACTGTTTCAAACTTATATTTCAGTTTCGGCCGATTTTCGGTTTCGGCCAAAATTTAATAAAATTTGCGGAAAAAAAAACAAATCGCCACCCTAGTATATATGAGTATATATAAATATATATATATATATTCATTATTGTATTGCGTGGCCTATCATGCGAAAGCTTCGGGTCTCCTGATAATTCATTGAATAAATTATTTTTTTGAATTTTAATTTAAATATATATATATTATATATATATAACATGCAGAAGTATGTATGTATGTGTATGATCAGTGTTTACAAAGCATATCTTTATTGAAGTTTGACAGCCTGATCAACATAATTTATGCAGAGGTGGACAATCACTTATTAAGCTCAACTCAATTTTTCATGGTATATATATATATATATTAATATATACATATATATATATATTTATGTGTGTGTATTGTGTGGGTGGAAAGGGGGTGTGTACGCACAAGTATGATAATAATAACGTTTTATTGCCTATAAATACATTTCTAAACTTCTTTGTTGAAATAATTCAGATATCGAGTAAACAATAATTTGAATAATTAAATAAAAGTCGTCACTAATTGGGATATTAAAGATAATATCTATGTGTTCGTGACAATACATTCAACATGGTCAGATCAATGTGTATTGCCGGAATAAAAGACTGGATGCTTTTCTCATAATTTGCAACTTGTGAAAAATGCCATTTTTCTCCAATCTTCCGTTGAAACTGTTTAAAAAAATCTAGAAAAATTATTTTCCGATTGAAACACATTGAACAAGCCTGTCGACATCTTTCTCAAATTCAACAATCAACTGATGTTCCACAACATTCACTGATTCAAGATTTTGAAACGCGATGGAACAGCTCATATTTAATGTCGTCTAAGTTGAATGAGCAATAAAAAGCAATTAACTTATATTCAGTTGAATATGGAAACATTGCATTTTTGTCCAAAAATGAACGGAAACTTATAAAACGTTTGGGTATTGTTTTAGGACCATTTTATGACGCAACAATTGAAATATGTCACGATAATGCTTGCATTTCAATAATCATCCCAATTTTTTTAATGTTGAAAATTGGACACAACTACGAAAAATCGTGGATAAATTCAAATGAAGGCAGCTCTCCGAGATTCAATAGATAAACGGTTGGCATTTGTTAGAAGAATCCTTGAAATTCTTGCAGCAACTTTGCTTGATCTACAGTTTAAAGATATGTATTTTGACAATTCTGAAACAGAAGAGGCCAAAAATGAAGTTTTAAGATTTATAAAGCCAAAAATTGTTGAAGTGAAAGAAAGTAGAAACCAGTCCAAAGAAATGATCGAGGTTCATAAAAATATTTTTAAAAGTTCAGCTTCATTGTCTTTATATGCAAATTACGATAAAGTGAGCCTAGCTAAACAAAATGATCATGAGCGTCAAATGCAAACGTATCTTAAAGAACCTCGAATAAATGGAACAGCAAACATTTTTGCCTATTGGCATTGCAGCCAATCTTCCTGCCTTGAACCTGCTGCTCGAAAGTACTCATCCACACCTCCAGCAAGTGTTGCAAGCGAACAGCTATTTAGCTCTGCAGGACAAATTTAAGCAGATCGTCGTAGCAATCCTCTTGGAGAAAACGTTGAGAAACTATTATTTCTTGCATACAATATACGTTTATTTAGACTTAACTATTAAACCAAAACT